AGAGAGAGAGAGAGAGAGACAGAGAGAGAGAGAGAGAGAGAGAGAGAGAGAGACAGAGACACAGAGAGAGAGAGAGACAGAGACAGAGAGAGAGAGACAGAGACACAGAGAGAGAGACAGAGACACAGAGAGAGACAGAGACACAGAGAGAGAGAGAGACAGAGACACAGAGAGAGAGAGAGACATAGAGAGATGTGAGGTGTGTCGTGTTTCAGGAAGCTTCTGTGATTAACAGATCAATAACTGAAACACAGACTCACAGAAAACAAGTTACACAATCGCTGTCTCTGTGTTTTCATCTCTACAAACCACTGCAGAACTCCATAACTAACCAGCTCATCACCAGCTAGTGAACTAACCAGTCTGAGGAAGCATCAGACCCAAACACATCTTCACGAGACGCTGGCGTTTCTGATCTCAAACTCGTATTCCTCCTCTGACCTCTTTAAATATGATCTAGAAATGCTTCTTCAGGAAACCAACAGGATTCAGGTTTCCTCACAATCCTGCAACAAGACAAATAAAGCTCAGACGTTACCCAGAGTGCTTTGCACAGAGTAATGCATCTGCAGCGTCACTGTATAGAGACGGTATAGACACAGTGTATAGACCCATCTCTAACTCAGGAATATCTGATACGAGTATGCATCCGCACAGAGTCAGCGTACACAAACATCAGAGGCTCCGAGCATCACAATCATCTTAAACCAGAAAACAACACATGACTCAGCTGCAGTGCATGCAGGGAAATACTGGCAGAGACATCAGAAAAGACTGAAGTTAAGTGATGTGACCGTCTCCTTCAGTAACATCACAAATATCAACTCAAGTCTATATTATCATATTTATTTTTACAGTAACACCTCATGCCTGTATATAATTCACTGTACAGCTGTTAATAATGCTGAATAACACACGCATGTCCAATCCATTATTTGTTTATAAACAATTGTAACCATTCTTATACTCACACAATCATTGTTTCACCTTAATGTTATAATGTATCAGAAATAACTCTACTGTAACACGTGACACAAAAATGCAACATTTGTTGCTGATCATAAATTGTAAGGAGTTAAAATTGTGTAACTATGAAAAGATATTATAACTGATAACAAAGTGTGTATTACAGGGCAACATCCACAAATGTTTTTGCTTATTTCTGCGGATTAGTACAAATTTAAAATGATATTTCTGTAATACATTTGATTATTATTATCACTCTATATGAGAGCGGAGTAATATCTGTATTGATCACTCTTTCTACCTCCAGGTGAGGAGCGTCCGGATCCAGATGAGTGAGTCGGTTCAGCACCGCAGGATTCGGTTCGTCGCTGATCTCGAGTCTCACAGAGTCCCGGATGCTGCGGATCCGCCAAACACTGGCATCAAACATGACGGAACCGAAGCCGAGCTCACACCCCGCCGCAAACACCATCCGACCGAACCACAGCCGCACAGCGCCGACCGGAGCACTGTGTGTGTGTGTGTGTGTGGGTGTGTGTGTGTGTGTGTGGGTGTGTGTGTGTGTGTGTGGGTGTGTGTGTGTGTGTGTGGGTGTGTGTGTGTGTGTGTGGGTGTGTGTGTGTGTGTGTGGGTGTGTGTGTGTGTGTGTGGGTGTGTGTGTGTGTGTGTGGGTGTGTGTGTGTGTGTGTGGGTGTGTGTGTGTGTGTGTGGGTGTGTGTGTGTGTGTGTGGGTGTGTGTGTGTGTGTGTGGGTGTGTGTGTGTGTGTGTGGGTGTGTGTGTGTGTGTGTGGGTGTGTGTGTGTGTGTGTGTGTGTGTGTGTGTGTGTTCAGGCTCCGCCTCTTTCTCCGCTCGGCATCATGATGTCATTTTCAGATCAGAACCACAGAAACAGAACAGAACAGAGCGGAATGTCAATCAACTCGCGATGTAAAAGTGGGCGGGGCTCAGCGGCTTACTGAAGAGAAATTAGAAACACTTTATTTTAAGGTGTCCTTGTTACACGTTACATGTACGTTCTATAATAATAATAATTATTTATGCATAATTGCATGCATGTAACCCTAAGACAAACACAAACCCTAACCATATAGTGAGTTCATGTAGTTAATTAATATTACTCAGTACTTAAATGTATAATTACACTGTAACAAGGACACCTTAAAAAAATAAAATAACCGAGAAATACACACAAACATAATCCTCAATTAAAGTGTCAATCAAAGTGTATCCACAAAGAGACACCACTGTTCCTGTTGATTTTCTCTGCGCTAATAAAAGTATTTTTATACAAAAATAATAATAATAATGCATTTAACAGAGCTCAGTTTGTATTTGTACGAATCCGTGTGATTGTACTGTTTGAATTATACTTTTATGACATAAACGCCCCCCAAACAAGAGCTGGTGTGATGATCCGCGGAGCGCCGCCTGCTGGAGGAACCAGACACTCGCTCATCTCAACAAACAGACTTTATAACCTCGGATAACCTTCGCAACCTCGAAAATATTTCATGTACGAACTCTCTCAAAACGCGCTCATGAGTTCATGAAACTTCCGTCGCACATCTGGAGTTAATTACAGGAGCAAAAGGAGTCCAGATACGATGTTACTGCCAGTAACCACACACACACACACACACACACAAACACACACACACACACACACACACACACACACACACACACACACACACACACACACACTAACTCACACAAAAACAAACACACACACTGTCCCTGAGACACACTTCCTGTTTCACACACACACACATTCACACAACCTCATGATCGCACATTCATAACGGATCTGTCCAGAGAAACACACACACACACTCACAAACACTCTCTCTCA